TTTTGGTCAGCCATGGTATTCGGAGCTATGCTCCGACTAATTCATTGGTCGACCTGGGTCGCACACTTGGTAGTGGTGGGTGAGCCTCCCAATAAGGGTTTCTGCATCCACAAAGACTCGAACTCGAGACCTTTGCTTAAGCGAAATCAAGCTACTTACTACTTGAGTCAGCCTCTGTTGGTTCTTCTTCGAAGACTTTTGACTTACTTGTCTAGCATCTATTTATAAGCATCTAATTATTCATCTTAACATATGAATAATTACAATTTATCATTAATTAAATAATTAATTGCTCCTCGTTTTTCATCTTAAGAAATTAATCAAACACCGTTTTCATTTGCATCTTTTTAAGAAATAATTGTAGTTCCATTTTATTGTATGATACTATATGCTTGAGGTGTTAATTGGTGTATTTAAAGTATAATTAAGTGCACATGCAAGGACGTTAATTAAGTACGAGTACAGAAAAGGCAAGTTTTGTGACGTAAGGCTTAGACGTGTGTGACGCAAAGCATCTCATTCTCTTTTTTTAATCCACCCGTGACGGGCTTTCTTATTCATAATTAAACTGCTTAATTAATTAATTAATTAACTGCCTCGTGGTTTAGTATTTAATATTATTCAATTGAGTTGTAATTATGTTAGCATAGTTGCACATGAAAAAATGTTTATTTATTTTGAGATGAGACCATATAATTATTATAACTTAGACATGAGATTAACTTTTTGGCCCCAGTAAATTATTATTCAAATTAGACTGTCTGCGCGACAACTTTTGCTCACCATTATTGTGACATGTTTATCTCTCAATTTTTGGTCACTAATTTTGGCAATGCTGCTCTATTTTTGTAGATCGGCTGTTGCAACCGAACAAACTTGTATATTTTTCAAAACCCATAAGAACATCTTTAAATATAACAAGTTCCGTTCTTTTTTTGCGAAAAAAATATATGTTTTGACCAAGAAACATCAAGTTCTGTAGATATGTCATATTTATTAAAAAAAGAAAACCACAAAACAAACAGTAAACTAAGATTTATATCTAATATACTTCTGAAATCAATTGAAAAACACGATTTTTTTTTTTTTGAAAAAAATCATACATTTTCAACAAACATTACAAATTTGATAGATCCGCACTATAATTACCCTATTGAACCATTTTCTTATGATTCATTGATATATTTTAGCAAAATATGGACGGCAACATAAAATGAAAACAAAAAATATTAAATCGACTTTCGAAAATTAATTGAAAAAAGGGGTTTACAAAAAATAAAAAATTATAAATTCTTAACAAATATTACATATCTTGATAGATCTGTACTATAATCGCCCGAATTGAACCATTTTCTTATGATTCATTGAAGCTAATATGAGATATTATACTAGACCGGCTTTAATGGATTAGAAGGAATATATTGAAAAATAAATCCACATCACATGATATAATGGTATGAGTCAAGCCTAACTTGGGCACTAAGGTACACTCTCCCTATTTAAATGTCAAATATCAGAAAATAAAATGATATAATGGAAATGGACCAATAAATATTGCATTATTCAACTTAGGACTTTGCATTTTCAAACTTCAAATTTGAAATCTATCAAAATTATTACTTTTTAGTAGTCATTTGAAAATATGACTCTAATTCTTAAAAAGTACGAGTTTTGAAATATTTTATTGTGTAAATGTTGTTGCAGAAACATAGCGCAATATAAAATACAATAGCATGAAATATCCTCTTTCGCTAATTTGTGGTTTCGCCTTTCCTTTGGTTTTAGTTCAATCAAGTTTTCTAGAGAGAGCAATTAAAGAGGAATGAATTAAGCCGTACCTTGTACGTGCGTTTCAGTTTAACACACTAAAAAAAAAAACTTTTACATTCTAACGAAAATTTTCCGTTGGCATTCTTTGTATTTTCCGTTGGAATAGCTATTCTAACGGATATTCCTACGTATAAAAATTCGTGGGAAAAACGGTCATTGGAATAGCTAAAATCCAACGAAAAATCTTATGGAAATAAATTCCTACAACTATTCCAACGGAAAAAATCCGTTGAAATTTCTCAACCATCCAACACTTATTCCAACATAAAATTAAGATTGTTGGAATATTCATTGGAATTTCCAACGGAAATTTTTGCCGTTGGAATTTTTCGATGGAATTGAAGTGTTTTCTTGTAATGACACAAGCAGAAAATAAATGAATTAGCATGAATATTATTACACTAATGTCCAAACTTCAAACACAAGCATACAACTAGTGTATGCATATCAAATAAAAAAACTCTATCACTGTCATGTTGTTTACCAGTGTGTAACAAAATGACTTACTTCCTATTGAACATGAAAAAAAATTTAAGTTTGATGATTCCACATTGAAAACCAAATAACGGTTCTAAAAATTGAAACTCATAGCATCGCATCACCACTCCAAAACTTCAAAACTAGTCGAGAGTCGAACACTTTAGGGGAAAGAGTATTAGACGACGAAGAAATAACCGAGTACATATGTCAGAAGGCAGTAATAGTACTTACATGTTGGCCAATATGATACTGCATAGGTAGTCCATAAACCCTTTTCCATGCTAGTTATCAAGTTGAAACAAGATTACGAAAAGCTGGCAGACGAGGACATGACGAAACATTTGTCACAGTTAGCCCCTTGCTACGTGATAAAATCCACAGAAAATTCAAGTCTTGCTAATGTTTGTCACACAGAAAGAGTTGAACTATGTGAATAACTCAGCACAATAGATGTATACAAAATCATATGTAAAAAGTTCACTCTTTGCATAAATGTTTTGATTGAATGTCAATAACAGAATCAAGAGATACTTGAAAGGTGGCATACATTTTTATAAACATTTTTCGATCAAGAAAACTGTCAGTCACACCAGCATCGACGAAACAATTCATCTACAAGAAACACACACCATCATGCTTAGTGACCCTATCTGCAGCAAAGTTAGTACTGCATAAGACAGACACGGGCAAAGTACTAATTAAACAGAACAAATTGCAACATCGACGAAACAAATCACCATTACCATATTGTTAAAACATATTAAGATTCATGCACAAGAAAATATTCAGAGAAAAGGCAAAATATAAATAAAAAGAAAGCAATGACATTTCACCCAACAGATACCGAGAAATAATAAGGTAATGGAATCAGGAGTTATCATTACAGCATTACAAGGAACAAAGCAAATAGAAATTCAGAACTCAACTAGGATTTAGATCCATCCTCCCCTAGTGCAATAACCACTTTCTTCAGGATGAATTCAGTAGGCCGGTGTGAATTCTCCACAGCTTTTGATATGGATTGCCACTTTTCGCCGTGCTTTGGTTCTGCTGCCACACACCTGCTCAACACCTCACTCCGAGTCGCCTCAGTACCGTGCTCGAGTTCCAGTTTGTAATACAACGCCCAAAAATCCCCAATATCCGGGCCAAGCTCAACGGCCCGGTTGAACCAAGATCGGGCTTTCTCAACCTTGCCATCACGCCAAAACGTTTTCCCAACGGCAGCAAGAACATGAGGGTCATGGGGCCCACACCTTGTGTATGCATCCCTGCAGTAGGTTTTTTTACGAGGAGCCATGTCGATAGATTCAGCCCACAGGATGCCACTGCTAGGGCATTCTTGCAGTGCCTTTGCCATTAGTATCTCAGATTCCTTTTTGTTACCATGCCGGTTTTCAGCCCGGACGGCAGCAAGACAGAGCTGAGGATTCTGAGGGTTTTTCTTTCGGGCGATGGTGAGGACAGCACGGGCTTTGCTCAGCCCATTTACTTTCTCCTCCAAGCGGGCAAGCGAAAGCCAGAGAGGAACACAACCAGGGCAGTTCTTGATGCCCAACTCATATGCTTCCTTTGCCTTTTGTTCCGAGCCCTGCCTCTCTCCTAGCTGACCGAGCATCAGCCAGAGTTTGAAAAACCACGGGAAATGTTTAATCCCCTCGTCCAGCAAAATCCTCTCCTCTTCAGCATTGCCCAATTCTCTTTCTAAAATCGCCGATTTCATCCAAACCCTTTCTTTACCTCCCCTATCACGTGCCTTCGCAGGAATCATCCGGGCTCTCTCGGGCTCATGATTCTCAAACTCCAGTTTAAAGGCCGCAAGCCAAATCTCATTTGAGTTCGGGATCTTCGCATAAGCTTCCTCCAGAATGGCACAAGCAGAGGGCACATCACCAGCAAGCCACTTCTCCTTGGCGCCCATAAGCCACAGAATCTCCGCATGTGGCACATAGGTGACGGCCTCACGCAGCAACTTGTCCAGAGAGTCCCTGCTCCCGTGGCTCTTTTCAAGCCGAGCTGCCTTAACCCATATGCTCTTTTTGGTCCTGAATACAGTGAGTGCATGGGCATAGATGGCCCTAGCTGTCTCAATCGAACCTCTCTTCTCACACTCCTCAGCATCAGCAACCCACGTCCTCTTCCTATCCTCTTCCTCCACCCCAATCCCAACAGTGCAGCAAATTATAGCCCGGCAGGTCGCCACATAACTGCCTCTCTCGACCGCCTCCACCTCTTTCATCCACGATTCCCTGTCCATTTGTATAGCCTTAGTTGCATTTTCTATAATCTTTTCGGTGTTTCTATCGTTACTACCACCACTATTGATCTCCTCAAGCTTTGCGGCCGTGATCCATATGGCTGGCTCCTTAGGAAGCTTTGACCTGGCCTTGTTCAGCACCTTCTTTGCATTCTCGTACGACTCGAGCCTCACAAGTGCCAGCCACAGCTCAACGTGAAATGGGCAGCACTCGACCGCCCTCTGCAGCAGGAGACGGGCATCATTCTCATTCGCGAGCTCCACAACCGCCTTCCACAGCTTCACTGAGTATGGAACGTGCTCTAGTGCTTTTCTCAACACTCGACTCCTCTTGTCCACGTCATCCCCCTCGAGCTTAGACGCTTGCATCCACAGTTTGACCGACCTGGGGATTGCCTTCACCCCACGTGCAATCACAGCCTTCTTGGCGGCTTCATCCACCGAAAGCCGACACGCCTCCAGCCACACGTCCTCACTTTTTGGGCACTCCTCACAGCCCCTATCGATCAGCTGTCGGGCAGCACGGAGCTTTCCCAGCCACTTCTTCCAGCCTGGCAGCGGCTATCCAGCCATGTGCATGCTTCGGGTTCGTCAAAAGCCTTGCTTTATTGATATCAGATACCTCAGCATCACTGGTGATCTTCATGTTCCTGAGGTCGGTTAGGTAAC